ACCTTAATTTATTTTTAATAAAACTGACATATTTTGATTTATGTAACTCTGGCTGAAAATGGACGATCTTGTCTTATTGACTGTCAAATTTGTGTCACTCTTCATCATCACAAAATCGCCACTTTGTAGTACATGAAGAACGATAGAACCACTTTTCAATGATTATTTTTGGAAGTAGCAATATCTAAAACCCAAAAATGTTAAATTTTCACCCCTTTTCGAGTTATGACGATCTTCCAGAAAATGATATTTTACACCATATTGATGACTTTACTTTTTCAACAATGTCTTAATTTGACTTGTGTCACTGTTGAAAATAATGTCCTCAGTTTAGTTTTAATAAAACTGGCATGTTTTAATTTATGTCACTCTAGCAGAAAATTGATGATCACAAAATCACCACTTTGTAGTACATAAAGAACGATAGAACCACTTTCCAATGATTATATTTGGGAGTAGCAATATCTAAAACCCAAAAATGATAAATTTTTACCCCTTTTTGAGTTATGACGATCTTCCAGAAAACGATATTTTACACCATATTGATGATTTTACTTTCTCAACAATGTCTTAATTTGACTTGTGTCACTATTGAAAATAATGTTCCTAGTTTAATTTTAATAAAACTGGTATATTTTAATTGTCACTGTATTCAAAAAATTTAGTTTGTTTAATCGTCTGTCGGATTTGTGTCACTATTCATCATCATAAACTCGCGACTTTGTAGTACATGAAGAACGATGCAACCATTTTCCAGCGGTTATTTTTTGAGTAGCAATATGAAAAACTTAAAATTGTTATATTTCCAATCCTCTTTTGAGTTATGACAATCTTCCAGAAAAGGATATTTCACACTATATTGATAATTACTTTAGTTTTTCAAGAATGTCTTAATTTGACTTGTGTCACTGTTAAAAATAATGTTCTTAGTTTAGTTTTAGTAAAAATGGCATATTTTGATTTATGTCAAAGAATGACACAACCACTTTCTTGTGGCTATTTTTAGAAGTATTCATTCTTCCACATAAAAGAATGCAAATTTTGCTACATATTTTTCACTACAGGCTCGAAAATGAAAATTTTTGAGTTATGCCACTATTCTTGTGTACCAACTATTTGTCAATTTGTTTTATTTAACAACTGGCGTGAGCTAAATACATTTGGTCACGTCAGATCGCCTCAAAAACGGTCTAGACTGTCAAATCACAAATATTTGGTAGAACTGAAAACTGAATGATACCAAAAAAGTGGTGGGGGATTACCAGAGTGTCCCGAGTTCCTGCTGAAATCGATTTTAAGCATAGGATAGCATTTTTCGATTCAAAAATATCCTGAGACAGTCAAAAACAGGCCAATCTAACATTATTGACTGTAAGACGGTTCTAAAACGTCGTTAAACCGTTCCTATTCTATTGTGTTGATATTAATTTGACAGTTGACGTTTTAAAACCGTTACTTCGACAGTGGCGCACCTAAAAGCTTTTGCATATACCCATTATTGACAAACTTATTATATCACCACAATATGCAAGCTTTTATTATACCTTTCAAACTTAACTTCAATTATTCTCTTTTGTACAGTATAACTGTACACGACCACACACTAGTTACTTAGCTACTTTTAAAATTTGTCTTGATATTTGTCCCAAAATGACAGTTCCCCACTATGTACAGATTGCACAGACTAGTCCTGGCAAAAAAAAACCACCGTTAGGCAGTAAAACATGGAATGGATCACATCTTGTTTGATATACACGGTGCGAAAAAGGTGCGGTACAAAACAAACTACAAATTAAATTATTTGAAGTTGACATTGACGTTTACAGTTGACATTCATGTTTGAAAATGAAATACTGACTACCAAAAAGGATTCTGGACAGCAAATCCACTATTTACGATGAAATTGATAATAAAAAAAGATATGCCAAATAAAAATGAAAATGACGATGTTCAAGACAAACATAATTTAATTAAAAAGCAAGCCTCTCAAGTCATTTCATTATTAAATAAGGGTACAAAACAAATTAAAATGTTAATTGTTTGAAATTGGCATTGACGGTTGCCATTTGAGGTTGACATTGACGTTTATAGTTGACAATGACGTTAATAGTTGACATTGACGTTTGAGGATGAAATACAGACTACTAAAAAGGAATCTGGACAGTAAACCCAGTATTTAAGATGAAATTGATACAAATAAAAGATAAAAGATACCAAATAAAGCAGGTAAACCTCAAGAAAATGACAACATTTAAGAAAATTAACAGAATTTAACTAAGGAGAAAGTCTCTCAAATCATTTCGTAACTAAATAAAGGTACAAAACAAATTAAGAAGGTTGATTTATGAAGTTGACATCAATTGTTGACATATGGAGTTGACATTGAGGTTTGATTTATAAAGTTAGTCTGGATTTTTAACATTTAAAATTTAATTTACTAAGTTAGAATGAATTCTTGATATTTGAAGTATGATTTATAAAGTTGGCAAGTATTGTTGACATTAGAAGTTGCCAATGAGGTTTGATTTATGAAGTTAGCCTGGATTTTTAACTTTTGACATTTGACAGTTAATTTATAAAGTTGGCATGGATTCTTTACATTCAAGTTGGATTTATGAAGTTGACATTTTAAGCCTGGATTTTTGATATTTGAAATTTATTTCTAGTGAAACTGGAATGGAGGTTTGATTTATGAAGTTAGCCTGGATTTTTGACATTTGACATGTAATTTACTGCCTTAGTTTCTTGACATTTGAAGTCTGATTAATGAAGTTGCTGTGGATTATTGACATTTGGAGTTGGCATTGAGGTTGATTTATGAAGTTAGCCTAGATTTTTGTCATTTGAAATTTAATTTTTGATATTGGCATGGATTCTTGACATTTGAAGTTTTATTATTAACGTTAGCATTAATTTGAGGTTTGATTTATGAAGTTAGCATGAATTCTTGACATTTGAAGTTTGAATTATGAAGTCAGCCTGAAGTTATGACATTTAAAATTTAATTTATGAAGTTATCATGAATTCTTGATATTTGAAGTTTCATTTATAAATGTCGTATCGATTGTTGACATTGGAGTGATTTATAAAGTTAGCCTGGGATTTTTGACATTTGAAAGTAAATTTATAAAGTTGGCACGGATTCTTGACATTTAAAGTTTGATTTATGAAGTTGGCATGGATTGTTGACATGTGAAGTTTACATTGGGATTTTACGTCCACCAATGAGACGAAGTAATATTATTTGAGTCATAGAGATTATAAACCAAAATGTAGAAAACTAAATTCCTTTTACCAAACTTCGTATAAAATTTAAGGACAAAAAGAGATTGAAACAAAAAAACAAAGTTTGTAACGAATGAAAATATAAAAAAAGAACTTGACAGAACAAAATCAAATCGTATTTTAGGTGTTATTCCAGTTACAAGTAAAGTGACATTTGAGGTTGATACTGATGTTTGTTAGCCTGGATTTTTTACATTTCAAATGTGATTTATGATATTGGCATGGATTCTTGACATTTGAAGTCTGTTTAATGAAGTTGGCATGGATTATTGACATTTGGAGTTGATGAGATTTGATTTATGAAGTTAGTCTAGATTTTTGTCATTTGAAATTTAATTTATAAGGTGACATGAATTCTTGACATTTGAAGTTTGATTTATAAAGTTGGTATTGATTGTTGACATTTGAAGTTGGCATTGAGGTTTAATTTATAAAGTTAGCCTGGATTTTTGTCATTTGAAATTTAATTTCTAAGGTGACATGAATTCTTGACATTTGAAGTTTGATTTATAAAGTTGGTATTGATTGTTGACATTTGCAGTTTGCATTGAGGTTTGATTTATGAAGAGGTGTGTTTATTCAGCAAACTTTTCGTTAATTAAGCAATGGAAAGACGATTGTAATGTGTTAAACGTTTTTTCCAGCAGTGAGTTCACAAATGCTCAGGATGTGATGGATGAATGAAGGGGATAGTTAACCACTTTGTTTGAACACGATTCTTTAGATACAAGTTAACCTAAAATGTAAGAGTTTAAATATGAAATTGCTGCAGAAGAGATAAATTAGTATTAATTTAAACTATAATGGGCTTTTTATTTTAAAGCAATGTCAAAAGTCAAGTTGCTCATTTGCTAAATGTCATTCGTTATTTTCAGTGCAAATGCCTTCCACCAGAAATTATTCAGTGAGGTTATGGCATCAATCACAGATGGAACAATTGTTCAAGAACATAGCTAAGTTTGCCTGGATTTTTAACATTTGAAATTTAATTTATGAAGTTGGCATGGATTCTTGACATTTGAAGTTTGATTTATAAATTTGGCATCGATTGTTGACATTTAAAGTTGACATTGAAGTTTGATTTTTGAAGTTGCACTGGATTTCTAAGATTTGAAATTCAATTTATGAAGCTGGCATTGATTCTTGATATTTGATTATTGAAGTTGGTATGGATTGTTGACATTTAGATTTGATTTATGAAGGTTAGCTCGAATTTTTGACATTTAAAATTAAATTTATGAAATTGGCATGGTTTCTTGACATTTGATGTTTCATTTATAAATTTGGCATCAATTGTTGACATTTAAAGTTGACATTGTAGTTTGATTTATGAAGTTACACTGGATTTTTGACATTTGAAATTTAATTTATGAAGACTGGCATCAATTGTTAACATTTGAAGTTGAAGTTGAGATTTCATGTCAACAAATATGTCCGATGAGTTGATATTTGTGAGTACTGTCAGAATTTTCATACTCAAACATAAATGTATTATTTTACAATTTTCTGATCTGACAGAAACATGTACCGCACCTTTTTCGCATTTTTCGTATAAATAAAAATTTTCATTTGTATATAAATAAAAATATTCGCAAAACTCAACAAAAAAGACCAGTTAATAATTCGAGGATCGGAGACAATCTTGCACGCAGTAAACATAAAGCGCGGAAGAATGTTTCCGAACTGGAACAATAACAATAATAACAACCGAAATACTATAGCTGAATTTGGAACGCTTTGGGGGTCGTACTAGCGTTCAAAAACGGATTCGTACTGTTCGAACCCTGTCTAGCTGCCGTTTCGGCCCATTCGGCGTCGAACGGATCCGGTTTCCCGTTCTGGAAGGTTTCCGATCCGGTGTCCAAAGACACGGCCCTAGACTGCCCCCTCAGCGACGGCGTACGCCTGGGCGTCGATCCATCCATTTTCCCCAAAGTCGGCGAGGAAGACTTCACCATCTCCAACCACTGCTCCGGCTTGGGCAGCGTCGAAGCCGTGGAAGTCGTCGAGGTGTTCACCTCATTCTTGGGGCTGAAATTCAAACTGACGGGCGTGAAAACGTTCGGGGACGTCCTGTAACTGTTGTTGATCGTCGTGACGTTGACGTTGAGCGTATTTTGGTTGACGGAGCTCTGGTTGTTGAAGTTGAAATCGTCCGAACCGCTGTGGGTCAATTGGGACAATCCCTGGCTCAGTTGTTGGCATAGCGCGGTGACCGAATCGCCCGGGGACACCTCCGGAATGGGGGATACCGGTGGTTTTCCGTTGGCCGTAGGCGACGTCGGGGATTGGTAGGAATTCAGACGAGCCGTATTGCTGGGAAGATCGTTGACGCGCAACGACATCTGTCGTTTGAACGGAGAACTCTCGCCCAATGTGCTGAATCTGTAATAATGAAATTACTGTTATTTTTTTTAATAATTAATTTATTAGTTCGACTATTAGAAGGAAACAGAACGAACTTGTCTTTATGTCCCTTAGCGATGCGATAAATCTATTAGAAAATTAATTTAATAAGTTGGCATGGATTCTTGACATTTGAAGTTTAATTTATGAAGTTGGAATGTATTGTGGATATCTGGAGTTGACATTAAGGTTTGATTTATGAAGTTAGCCTTGATTTTTGACATTTAAAATTTAATTTATTAAATTAGATTGGATTCCTGATATTTGAAGTATGATTTATAAAGTTAGCATATATTATTGACATTTGAAGTTGCCATTGAGGTTAGATTTATGAAGTCAGCCTGGATTTTTTTCATTAAAAAGTTAATTTATGAAGTTGGCATGGATCATTGACATTTAAGTTTGATTTATGAAATTAGCGAGGGGTTTTTGACGTTTAAAGTTGACATTAAAGTTTAAATTATGAAATTAGCCTGGATTTTTGACATTTGAAATTTAATTTAATACGCTGGCATGGATTCTTGACATTTAGTTTGATTTAAGAAGTTGGCATGAATTGTTGGCATGGATTGTTGACATAAGGGTTTGATTTATGAAATTAGAATGGATTCTTGACATTTGAAGTATGATTTATAAAGTTAGCATGTATTGTTGACATTTGAAGTTACCATTGAGGTTAGATTTATTAAATCAGCCTGGATTTTTTTTTATTTAAAAATTACTTTATTAATTTGGCATGGATTATTGACATTTAAGTTTGATTTATGAAGTTGGCGTGTGTTTTTGAAGTTTGAAGTTGACATTAAGGTTTAAATTATGAAATTAGCATGGATTTTGGACATTTGAAATTTGATTCAATAGGTTGGCAAGGATTCTTGACATTTGAAGTTTGATTTATGAAGTTGGCATAGATTGTTGACATCTGAAGTTGACATGAAGGTTTTATTTATGAAGTTAGTCTGGATTTTTGAAGTTTGAAGTATGATTTATGAAGTTGGCATGTATTGTTGACATTTGAAGTTGCCATTAAGGTTGTATTTATGAAGTCAGCATGGATATTTTTCAATTAAAAATTAATTTAAGAAGTTGGCATAGATTTTAGACATTTAAGTTTGATTTATGAAGTTGGCATGAGTTTTCGAAGTTTGAAATTAGCCTGGATTTTTGGCATTTGAAATTTAATTTAATAAGTTGGCATGGATTCTTGACATTTGAAGTTTGATTTATAAAGTCGGCATGGATTGTTGATATCTGCAGATAACATTAAGGTTTGATTTATGAAGTTAGCCTTGATTTTTGACATTTAAAATTTAATTTATGAAATTAGAATGGATTCTTGACATTTGAAGTTTGATTTATAACGTCGGCATGGATTTTTGACATATGGAGTTGACATTGAGTTATGATTTATGAAATTAGCCTGGATTTTTGACATTTCAATGATTTATAAAGTTGGCATGTATTATTAACATTTGAAGCTGCCATTGAGGTTAGATTTATGAAGTCAGTCTAAATTTTTTTCATTTAAAAGTTAATTTATGAAGTTGGAATGGATTCTTGACATTTAAGTTTAATTTATGAAGTTGGTATGGGTTTTTGACGTTTGAAGTTGATATTGAGGTTTAATTTATGAAATTAGGCTGGATTTTTGCCATTTGAAATTTAATTTAATAAGTTGGCACGGATTCTTAATATTTGATGTTTGATTTATGAAGTTGGCATGGATTGTTGACATCTGTAGTTGACACTTAGGTTTGATATTTGAAGTTAGCCTGGATTTTTGACGTTTGAAGTATGATTTATAAAGTTGGCATGTCTTGTTGACATTTGAGCTGCCTTTGAGGTTTGATTTATAAAGTTAGCCTGAATTTTTAACATTTGAAAGTTAACTTAAAAGTTGGCATGGATTGTTGACATTGAGGTTTGATTTATGAAGTTAGGCTGGATTGTTGACGTTTGAAGTATGGTTTATAAAGTTAGCATGTATGTTGACATTTGAAGTTGCCATTAAGGTTAGATTTATGAAGTCAGTCTGGATTTTTTTTTCATTTAAAAGTTAATTTATGAAGTTGGCATGGACTATTGATATTTAAGTTTGATTTATGAAGTTGGCATGTGTTTTTTGAAGTTTGAAGTTGACATTGAGGTTTACATTTTGAAATTAGCCTAGAGTTCTGATATTTGAAATTTAATTTAATAAGTTGGCATGGATTCTTGACGTTTGAAGTATGATTTATAAAGTTGGCATGTATTGTTGACATTTAAGCTGCCATTGAGGTTTCATTTATGAAGTTGACTTAGATTCTTGACATTTTAGGTTTAATTTATAAAGTTAGCATGGACTATTTTTTCTTTAGGAAAAATTGAAGATTGTGCAGAAGTACTTGAGGTCATAGAGAGGGTTAGAAGACTGATTTGGAATGTTTAATTCATGTTTATACAGGGTGATCTTCTCATAAGACACTCTCGAGTCACTGTTTCCACACCAAAACCTTTTGTATTTCAAATATTCTTTACACTTATATCTACGTAATATATAATTGTTCGGCCTTATGTTAACACTTTCAAATGAAGTCAATTTACATGTACTATTTTTCACAAAAAAGTAAGTAAATGTACATCAGGTCATGGAGACAGGGCTAGGAAACTGATGTGGGACCTAATTTTTAAAACTGCTAAGAGAAAAATACGCAAATAAAGCTACAGATTTAAATCATATTAGTATGTTCAAGATTTATCAAAACAAAATCATTGAGAAGGTCGTTTATGAACAAATTATTAGTTTTTTTAAAACATAATAAAGGTATAGTAAAATACAATCGGGCTTCAGAGACAACTACAACTGTAAATCGGCTATTTAGTGGGTTTTAAATATCATTTTTATAAAAACGATCTAAAGCTGGCAGTTTTTCTAGATCTTCAAAAGACTTTTGAGACTGTTCAAAACGTTTCATAAAAAATTAAAGACTACGGATATATTAAGGCAAGCATAGGAGTGGTGTGTAAATGATCTAGGTAACAATAAACAGAGGTTGAAAGTAAATAACATCTGATCAGAAGAAATTAACTATATCAAGTGTTCCGCAGGGAAGTATATTAGGTTCCTTGTTATTTTTAGTGTATATCAATGACATTTTTTGATATATTGTTCTTGTAAGGATTCAGATAAATTAGAAAGAGTTGTTAATGAAAAATTTTTATAAATGGTGTTGCAATAATTTGTTTAAAATTAACACAAATAAAACAAAATGTATGCTGATAAGTAATAACTATAAATAATACAACATCAAATTGAAGGAAATGCTATACAGTCACTAGAAAAATTCAAATACTTTGGGGATGTACAGCAAAGAGCAATATAGACAAAATTCAAATCTTTCAGAACAAACAGAAAAAAAGTATACCGAAAAATATATGTAGAAAAGGGCAAACAATAGTAACAGACATAACCTCATTACAAATAATTGTATGTACGTCCAATATTTTGACCGTTTATAATTTTTTCCTGAAATAAAATGAAGTAGACTTATCAAAAAATAGTTTCTTACCCACGACAACTTCCTTGTCTCTGTAACATACTGGGCGTGGCGTGCGGTCTTTCGATTGCGAACGGATTAACAGGAGTTGGTTTGGGATTCACTGGTCCCACGTCTATACCCCTCTCTCTGTCTAGCCGTTCCGTTAAACTTTGTTGCCTGAACGAACCGGTTCTCGTGAACGTGTTATTTTTCGTGTCGAACATCATCGTCACTCCGCATTCTTTGTCCCGTTTTTGCTTTCTGCAAGAAATTTTATTAGTATTTACTGGTATTTAAAGGATATTAAAGCAAATAAAGAGGATAGAAATAGAAAAAATAGAGATCAAAGAAAATATCATTAATAATTTATATGCAATACCTTGAGTTATTCCCTTTCCACCAGACAAAATATATTAAATTCTTACCTTTCCAAACACACAGCAAACGCACACCCGACAGCGTGTGACAGTCTTTCCCCGCTCTCCCTTAAAGCCAAAAATCCGTGGCACATCCATCGCCTGGTGGTGCCGTCTCTGCAGATATAACTGAAGCCCCTTTCGTGGTTCCTATCCGGCGCACAAAAGGATACTTTCTCTATGGTTTGGTCGACTATGAGTCCTTTGGTTTCTTCTTCGACTACCCGCAAACCGTCGCCGCTCACGTGTAAGACGGCCCTTACCGGTCTCCGTCTGGAACCCTACAAAAAAGATAACAAGAATTAAATTACTATAAAAAAATGTTACCAAACTAGATTTTCTTATAATCGCTGTAAATATTATAGCCAAATTACGTGTCGACTATACACAAATTTTGTAGAACATTATACAGGGTACTTTTGAAATATATGTACACAATAAAACGGGTAGAAAGCAATGAAAACCTATCAAAGATGCGATTCTTAATGAATGTATCTACCAAAATGTCAGTGATATTGACGTAAATAATCTACTAACTATACACTGAAAAACGTATAAAAAACCAATCAGTTTATGTCGTTTGGTTCATAAGAATTAAACACTTAAAATAACAATTACAGACCAAAGAAAATGGCAGTGATGTCTCCGATTACATCGTGGATGGGTGACCACTGGACTTAGCTGACTAGCGGTTAACCATCGACGACGTGAATGACGATGAATGAGTGTATGATGAATTGGAAGGAGTAGGGAATCCAAATAATGGCACAATAACCCATCTACGCTTCAGTGCCGCCATGCGAACCCCCAGATGAGGGAAAGCGGACAGAATCCCAATCCTGATTGAGGGTAGCCAGTGGCTGGGCCCAATCCTGATTGAGGGTAGCCAGTGGCTGGGCCCAATCCTGTTTGAAGAAAGTGTACCGGAATCCCTCGGAAGGGAGCAGAGGGATGATTGAAAGGGCGAAATAAAAATAAAACGAAATAAGTACTGCAACTAGCTTTTATTTTTTCCATAAATACCAGTCATTATCAAAGGCTTTGAAATAAGTAAGTAAAATATCCGCAGACGTAATTAAAATAATTTTAAATTAATAAAGGTTCTTTTCTATAATTTGCGTCAACATAAATGGCTCTGACGCATATTTTTTGTTCTTAAATATTTTGATCTTAAATTAAACAACAGTTGATCCATATCAGCGATGTAATTCGTGTTAGTTAAACGTAAATAATATTGACAAAATATTTCGTTCTAGGGTTATAATACAAAACTGCACTTTCTCAACTATCGTTGATTAAGCAATGAGGCTAATTTCCTTATTTTACAATTCTGATAATTATGAAAACACAAAATAATAATTTCCCTATTATATCCTTATCTGATAACATAAAGTAGTAATTCTCTAATTATTTTAATAAAATAGTGCGCCATGAAATGTCAAAAATTAAGTAATTATCTAAAAGTGAGTTGTCATTTTAATTTTATAAAATAAAAAATTAATTAAAAGTATGTAGCTGCGTTGTTATAGCCGTAGAAAAAGTATAGTGTTCAATATGCCAGTAATGCTTATTTCCTACTCATAACTCGTAACATTCTATACTTATTTAAAAATATAACTGTGTTGATTCATTGTCTAATAGTACAAAAAAAAAAGTCTCAAGAGAATTCTGGTTTAGTCTTCTAGTTTTTTATGTACTTAAAATCATTCAGTAACAACGCAGAGCTTTTGTATGGAATTTATGGTATTCAACATTATTTGTTAGATTATACTTATACATATATGTATATGTAAGTTGGCTACATATGGAAAATTTTTCTATTAGTTTCAGGGCCGCCGAGAGCCAGGCCGGGCCCCAGGACAATTCTCTAGATCGGGCCCCGTGACAAAAAAAGCTCCTCAAACAAAAACTTTTCCTCTTCTACTTGAATTGAATTTTCTTATAAAAAAAGGTCTTCGCGCTAAAACTTTTCCTCCTCTACTTAAATTGAGTTTTCTAAAAAAAAACCTCTCCAACCAAAAACTTCCCCTCTTGTCTTCTGTCAAATTTCTCATACAAAACAAAAAAATCCTGTAATCGGGCCCCCCTTATACCGCTGTCGGGCCCCCATTTGAGTCCGGGCCCCGGGAATTAGTCCCGGCTACCTCCCCCCCTCTAGTCGGCCCTGATTAGTTTATCAAAAAAAATTTATTCTTTATAAAAAGTTTTGCTTATTCAACCATCATATATTACATTTTTTCTACGAACTCTTACAAAAAGACATCTTTCGCCACAGGATACTTTCAGCGAAAACTCGATTTCCGTCACTAGTAAGAAAAAATCCCATAACGTTTACTTTCGTCTCAAGTGACGATAGTAAGTTGTTACATATTTTCATATATCAGTCGCCTCGTATAATATTTTGGCAGCTTATAATTATTAATAATGAAATAAAAAGATGCTCATTAAATTCTATATGCGTTTTTACCTAAACTTTAATGAATTAAAGATAAAATAAAAATGTATAAAAATAGTGCAAATTAAACCAATCTACATCTAGTTTCCTGGTTTTCATTTGTTTATTTGAAGTTTTATCACTTTTGAGAGCTGTCAGTTTCAGTTCGTCCTAAATTTAACACATTTTCATGATGTCTGAGTCAGAAAGCGATTGTACTCCCCCAGAAATTATTTTTAAAGCTGAAGAAACCTCTTCAGATTTATTACCGGCCAAATCAAAAAAGAGATATGAAGAAATTTATATTAAATTTTTGGACTGGAGAGAAAAAAATAAAGTGAAATCATTTTCGGAAACTGTACTACTAGCATACTTTGGAGAAATATGTTCAAATTTTAAACCGTCGACGTTATGGTCCATTTATTCGATGCTAAGAACTACACTCTCTGTTAAAAATGATGTCGATATTAGTAAATATCCAAAGTTACGTTCGCTTTTGAAAAGAAAATCTGATGGTTTTAAAAGCCAAAAATCCAAAAATTTTTCGCCTAAAGACATAAAGACTTTCCTAAAGAATGCATAAATATTTAATAACAAAGGTAACGGAATTATTATTTTTATTTTAACAAATACGTAATACATAACTAGTGATATTTGTAGGTAGCATTAGTTTTTGGATTATCTGGCGCTTGTCGTTGCCACGAACTAAAAGATTTAACAATAAGCGATGTAAAGGATACTGGAAGTATTCTGTTAGTTAAAATCCGTAATACAAAAACAAAAGTTCCGCGTTCTTTTCATATTTCTGGACCCTTTTATGATATTTCTAAAAAATATATGAGCCTACGTCCCGCAAACATGGATCAAATTAATTCAAGATTCTTTATTAACTATCAGAATGAAAATTGTAGCAGACAGGTTGTTGGAATTAATAAAATCAGTAAATTTCCTAACGAAATTGCTCAGTTTTTAACGCTTCCGAATCCTCAAGATTACACTGGGCACTGTTTCCGCAGAACATCCGCAACGCTATTAGTGGATGCAGGAGGTGACTTGCTTCTGTTAAAAAAGCACGGTGGTTGGAAATCTAGTAGTGTTGCGGAAGGATATGTTGATGAATCCACGAACAGTAAAAACCAAATACAAACCAAAATTTTACAATCTGTACAAAATAAGGAAACTACTAGTTCATCCGATTATGGCGCATCATCATCTGAAATGACATTTAACAGTAGAACAAATATGTCGGCATCTACCTCAATAAATAAAAAGTTTGAGTGTGATACCCCCATAATTTTGAACAATTGTTCAAATATAACAATAAATCAATATTTAAATAATAAATAATATTTCTGAAATATTTAATTGTTGGTTAATTTTTTGTTATTCCTAACACAAAATAAAGCATTTGCTAACGTTTGTTTTTTTTTTTTTTTCATTTTAGTAGGTACCTACATGACATAATAGAGTTCGTAGAAAAAGTATAGTGTTTTACTCGTCGAAAATCATTTTCGTCACTCGTGAAACAATATACTAGTTTGAGTCGTATATGGGATGCGGCTCAAGAGTAAAGTACCTTTATTTTTAACAAACCTCGTACACGACTCACAAAATTTGATATAGGTATGATGGTTTTTTTTTTTTATTAATTTTAGGAATAAAGTTTTTCTCCATAAAAAGTTCTTCATGACTTAAAACCAAAAATTTAATCATCTGATACCAAATTTTATCAGTCGTATACGATGTTTGTCAAAAATAAAGATACTTTACTCTTGAGAAAAATTTATATTTTTTAAAGCACCTCATATATGGATCAAAAAATTTAATATATGATGGTTGAATTTTAGGTTTTAAACTATTCAAAACTTTATATAAAGAATTTTTTTTTTTTATAAAATAATGAAAGAAGTTTTGCATGTGTAGCCAACTTATGTTGACACACTATATGTTTAAAAGTTGTGGACACATTTTTATAAGGTATAACAATTTTATAGTCGCCAGAACACAGTTATTGTATTTTACTTATGTCAATAAAAAAATTCTAAAATTATAAGAATGATACTAATAATATAGGTACTCTATACAGGGTGTTAAAAAAAAAGTGTCACAAAATGAAATGGTGAATAGTATGACCCAAAATAAGCAGAAAAGTCTTAATAAATATATGACCGCAAATTAACGGTTTCGGAGATACGGACCATTTTGTGTTCATACCAATTTTTTATTATTATAAAAAAACAATGATATTTATAAACAATCAATAACAACATAGAGTTAAATGAAGGGATGTGGCGATTAGGGAAAGCGTCGATATACTGACGTAGCGCTTCCCTCGCATTGCCATTTGCACGACCGTACATAAAATGCATGTCAGCTAATTCAATATTAGTGTAAACAGGCATAACGAAAATTTATAAAATTATTCACCCACAACAAAATAATAACTGCAAATAGTATCTATGAAAAAACATCGGTAGACTCCGATAAGAAAAGCAAGTTTTTGAGAACGAAAAAAGATAATCAAAACACTCCGTATCTCTGAAACCATTCATTTGCGGACATATGTTTATTAAGACTTTTCTGCATATTTTGGCCCATACTACCCCCGTTTTATTTTGTGACATTTTTTTTTAACACCCTGTATATGTATAAACTGATAGCAATAATTGACATTTGACATTCCTTTTTTATTATAAATTCATGTTCAAAATTAACGCACCACTTAGAAAGACATTTTCATTGAAACCATCACAACTAGTTTCGATATAAGGTAATCATCAGTCCTAAAAGTGGTCCACAATATAACCAGTGTACTACAAAAAACTTTTTAAAGTAGGCCATGGACATGACTAATTTTTTACGAATTACGAAAAGGACACTCGTGCGATTGTGGTACTCGTGTCACGAGTTTTACACATCATGTAGAATATGTTACTTTCGGCACTTGTTGCACAATATACTAGCTTCGTTCGCGGTAACAATCCTGAACTGATTCAGAATTATTAATTCATACTTTGAGCGCATGCCCGAATCATTATCAAGTCTGAATTTTTACCGCGAGCTCAGTCCCTATTATATCTTGGTGTTTCAGGTATAGACAAGCGGTTCAAAACCAATAATTATTTTACCGCGAACGCAGGATAAAACCAATAGCTCAGTTCTTTTTGTTCCGCGACCGCCTTTTTACTACTGCGCCTGCGAAATCGTTACTGTTAGTAATAATTCGGTTCAGGATTCTTACCGCGAACAAAGCTACTATTATTTCCGTGTTATCATTTTCTTTGTCGTTGGCTTCTTTGTAATTTGTTTTTTATGCCTTTTATTAGGAACTTGGTACATAAATAATAAAAAAAAATATTTATTATTTATTTTATGTACATTTCTAAGAAAATCACGGAAAACCAATTAAAATCGTTCAAACAGTGCTGAATACGTTTTCAGAATTATCCAAAATCAAGGGACAACCACCTCCACCAAGCTTTTAGAGGGCATGAGTCATACCGCCAAGGGAGCTTGATATGAAGTTGGGTCTATTTTGAGTCTGTAAGAGCCAAATCCACAACATGAAGAAGATGAATCAAAACGAAGAAACAAGGGACCGAAGATAACTTAGATGGAATGGACTAAGGTTCAAAGAAAGTGGCCATTCCCAGTAATCAGTTAATGGGGACCTACCAGTAGCAGCCAAGTACAGCAGCCATGTACAGTCTAGGTTACTTGAAAATTTTTTGTGATTTTTTAATATTAATTTCTCAATAAGTTCCACGGTTTACTATATATATTTTATTGTATAAAACAAAATCTAAATATTTCAAAAACCTTATTTTTAGTTTTTTTCTACTCCATCTAATCAATAAATAATAGTATAATTCCAGAATTGTTGTTGAGGACTTACTTTCTCGTGAGGCACTGTACAAATACTCACATTTGAAAAAAAAAATTCTCAAAAATTTGCAAGGTAAGGTATAGTTAAAAGTTCAGTATTAGATAAATAAGGACTTATTATATATTAATAACTATTAGAAAAAAATTAATTTTAGTCATAATCTAATAACTTTTTTTTAACATTTGAGGCGAGAGGTTTGGCGAAAGGACCTCCTTAAGTTTGAAAGGTATAATAAAAGCTTGCATATTATGGTGATATAATAAGTTTGTCAATAATGGGTATATTCAAAAGCTTTTAGGGGGAATATACCTCTTGGTCGCCGCGGTCAGTTTTACCCAAATTTAATCCTTTCGCTATTCGAAAGGTATAGGCCACTTGGTCTCCAAACCTGGATTAAGGGTTCCAAGAAAATTATGGGGTTATTTAATTACTCTAATTATAATATCGGTTTGTGACCTGTTGAGAACTAAAATAAAAATATTTTTCATCAGTTAATTGTCTGCATTCTTACTGAAAAGATTAATTTTTTTATTTTAAAAGTGATTCTCATCTTATTCATTATTCCATAAAAGAAGTTTTGAGTTTGTGTTGTAATGGAGTCGATGTTAAGACTAAAAGGAAAAAAGTTGTTAATTGTAAAAAAATATACATTTGGAAAAGACAAGGAAACAAAGTTAGGTGTATCATATAAGTGTACTCGTCGTGGGTGTAAAGCGACTATTGGAGTGGACGATTCGGAAACTGTCTTATTGAAATCTAAGAGTGAACACAATCATCCACCATCGGACCATTTAGATGTAAAAAAACTTCAAAACGGATTGAAAAGAAAGGCAACAGAAGATATTTGCGTTAAACCCAGTAAGTTAATTAATAACGGAATCCGAGGGGAAGGAAATACTTTTAATGTATCCACTACGGATGTTGACCTCATCAGACGAAGCATATACAGGGCAAGAAGAAGTATATTGCCACCTTTGCCAAAGTGTATCAGTGATGTTCATAGTGTACTGAAAGCAATACAATGTGTTACAAATAAGGGTGAACAATTTTTATTATTTAACAATGAAGATTCACAAATTATTTTATTTTCATGTGATTCAAATTTAAAATACTTGTGTTCTCGTGATAGTATTTATTGCGACGGCACATTTAATTATTGCCCTAAATTTTTTTTACAATTTTTCACTATACATGCTGTTGATAACGGACACTACATACCATTGGCATTTTTTGTTTTACCAGATAAAAGAGCAAGTACCTATGCAACTGCATTTAAATTATTAAAAGATTACTGTTATAATAATTTAAATTTAGATTGGAAGCTGTGTAAAGTTATTTGCGATTTTGAGAAAGCCATACACACTGGTATTATACAGATTTGGCCTGATATCTTAATTATTGGATGTAGATTTCATTTAACCCAATCGTGGTTACGTAAGATACAAAATCTGGGTTTGATTTCCGAATATAAAAATGAAAATTCTGAAATCGACAAATGGCTTCATTACACTTTCGGCATTTTATTTTTGGAAAGTACTGAAGTAGCAGAGTGTTTTTGTAAAGATTTAATTCCAATAATGCCATTTGACGAGAGATTAACTTCATATACTCTTTATATGATTAATACGTATACTAGCGATACGTCTGACTTCCCGCCTACAATGTGGGCATCGTGCACAAGTTCCACAGAACGCACAACAAATGCTTGTGAGTTTTTCCACAAACATTTTAATTCTGCTTTTTATTCGGCGCATCCCGATATATTCAAATTTGTTAATGTAATTCTCGATATTCAGTTAAATCTTATGTGAAATTAAACAGTACACATATACCTAACAAAATTAAAAACGCTAATTACAAAAAACGGCATGCGTATTTAACGAACGTAATAGAACAATATAAAAATAAGATCCTTTCACGAACTCAATTTATCAAAGTAGTTTCTTATCATTACAAAAACTAATTGCAATTTGGGTTTCTTAAATAATTTTTATTTTGTATTTTGTGTATTTTGTACCTACTTTTTTTTATTATGTATAATTTTATATTGTTTTCTATTAATTATAATTGTTTTTTTAATTTGGTTTTATTCTTTTCCTGAACCACATTCTGTACCATATCATATCAGTTAAAAATTTCTATTCACGTGGAAAATAATAAAAATCAGTTAAACTATTTTTTTCTTAAAAATATTATTTTCAATAAATCGAAATAGATACCTTTAATGATTGATAACTATGGCGACCAAGAGGCCTACCTGATTTTAAAACTGGAGACCAAGTGGTCGATGAGATTACGGAACCCCGCTGACAAAACTAACCGCGGCGACCAAGTGGCCAACACCCCTTTTAGGTGCGCCCACTGTCGAAGTATGTTTGTTCGTAATGACACAGAAGAAAGAACAACTTTATCCTGTGGTAACGGTTTTAAAACGTCAACTGTCAAACTAATATGACATTTCTAAGAAGTCAAACTTCTGAGACTTTAAAATGTATTTATTTATTTATTTTTAAATGTCTCGATTTAGTAAAAATTAATAATCAAAATATTGATAATTTAATTGAAGAAAACACACCAATAAATACCGTTAACAGTAAAAAATGTATATGGAAACTATTTATACAAATATATGTTAGACGTAAATGGAAGTATTTAAGACCTAACTTTGAAACTAAAGTAAAATATGAAGTAAATATGAGAAAAAAAGATGATATGGACTTAAAGAATGTACAGTCAACACTTTATGGAATGTACAGTCAAGACTTATGGACTGTAACTAGTAAGTTACTTTTTATTAAATAAATGAGTTAAAATATGCCAAAAATTTTCTGACCGAATATCCACCCTTCGGTCAGTAGTAAATACTCATATTTTTTTTTTTCAAATGCTTCAAGTACGTTTATTAAGCTAACTACAAATACAAAGCAACGTGCTTTCGGTAAGTGAAAAAAATTATTTCGAATTATCGCTGTCCTTGGGATACTACCGCTGACAATTTTTAAAACATTTGATAATCCGAAGTTAACTGTAGTAAAATTGCTATCTCTGGAACTGTAATAAATGCAAAAATGGTTAAATTGAACAGTAATTGCTTATTTTTAGTTGGTATCAGAAAACACAAAAACAAAATCAAGACATAAAAAACGAGTTGCATACATTTTTTTTAAATATGGTATATAAATAGCCTTAAAATATCATAAATTCCCTTCTTTGGCATACAGATATTTGTAGGCATTCGAAAAAAGTTCAAATATTAACTAGTTTTAATAAGTACATCTATTTTAAAAACAAAACTCATAGAAATAATCTTACCCTAAGTACTTTAAGCGCCTCTTCGCACACCTGCATCCCCCTGGAATCGAACACCTCCACGCATCCCATGTATTTCACGGCAAACGTGCACGTGCCCGAACGCACGGCGTTTTCGTCTGCTTGCCATTGATGGGGCTTCGAACTTTCCGGAATACGGTCCTTTCGCCTGCGGAAGGAGTCCCTGAACGAACGTCGAAGCCTGTCCATCTTGCGCGGTGATCGAAGACTGCGCCTCTGAAAAGAACAATATCAATCATTAGAATCTTATTACAATCTAATCAAATTTCAATCTAAAACTATAATTGGAATGATCTAAATATCAATTTAAGATGGAAGAAAGCACCCATGTAGAATCCGTATTTGACAGACGATTGGAACCATTTTTTTGGGGGGATCATAGAGGGTTAAAATATCTGCTCACAAATCTTCAATAATTAGGTTGTATTTTTAAGGCAAGCTTAAATACTTTTTTACTATTGGATTCACATGGTCTTATAGTCTTTCTAGACTCAATCTAACACAGGTATTTGTACCGGGGGTGCGTAATAAATAGCGTTATAAGTGCTGAGAATGCTACAAGTTATATACCATCACATTGCAAATAAGCGCGAATTGTTTTGGTATAGCACTGATGCCCACTTAAGTTTTAAACATTAACGCAACTACAGTTGATGTAAGGTCCACAAGAGAGCGGTCACTCGATTTTTTTAAAATTGTACTAAATGTCGTTAAAATATGTTTCATTCAGATCGGATACAAATTATGCTGGTGTTTCTCAAAGCACCAACCTAAAGCCACTGTTATTTCTTATTTATAACAATGATGATCCTACAGTGAGAGTAGAAAAAAATGCTTGAGTACAAAAAAATGAACTCCAATTAATTGTAAAATCCAAAAACATAGAAAGACGATTGTATTTTCCCATTTACTCTTCACTCAAATTTTTTTTTAGTCGATTATCTGCGAGTAAATAATATGTAAATCGATTTTGTAGCCTTTTCTGGTATATTTATGAATTTTTTCAAGCTAAGACTAATTATAAGACACATTTGTTTTCAACATTTCAGGTCCGTACTTATTTAAAATAATTAGTCTGAGAGTGCTTCAAGTAAAATGAAGAAACGTTTCTTCATCAATTTAAGCAGATAATTTTAAAAGATAATGTGTAAGAATATCGAAAGTAAATTCCTTTATTTTGTAAAACAATACATTAAAGATCATATTTATTATAATATCAGACATATTCGTTTACCAATTAATACTGAATTTGTCTAGATGTCCCATAAATAAAGTCTTAAGTGTATTAAATCGTTTACGAGATACCCATTCTTATATGAAACACACTGTATATTTTAAAAGATTTTTTTTTATAAAATTTAGCGAAAGCCCCAAAATTTAGCGCTTATAGCAAATGAGGGTTTGGAAAAAATGGATAATGATTTTTTTATACCTAATATAAATGTACACAAAAATTCTTAATCCACACAATATAATAATAATATCAATTTCCGATAGCAATTCATTGTTTGCAAAATACTCCAAAATGAGTGCAGACACAAACCAAGCCACGCGTTCATAAAAATAATGAAATCATAACAAAAATGTTTGTCAATCTGTTAATAAAAACAAAAGTGGTTCGCGTATGTCATACAATTGGATACGGTGGGCGGGATCATTATTTCAACTAGTTAAGCTAGCACACTTTGATTTTGTCGACACGCATACTTTTTATTTTTATAGTCCAGTCATAATTCGGAAAAATCGTTATGTGTTATAGGCAAACCAATCGTCTCACTTTAATACGGCCATCTAGGATATTAACTCGAAATCGGCACGATGAAACATACTAATTGAACTTTTTTTTTAATATTATTAAAATTAACATTAGAATAAAACGATTTCTCTACACCCATATCATAATAATGCACTTATATGCCCATAATCCGTTTCATAATGATACCCATTATGATACAGATTTTTTATAACGATACAGATTTTTAATCAATAGAAACCATAATTTTTCAATCAAGCATGCTGTGCATTTGACGTTTGCCCTAGGTTTCTATGTAATTGTTTTAGTTGTCAAAATTTTCGTAGATAGCTAAACTTCGATAATTATATTATCAAAATGTCCGACATCAAGATATAGAAGACTTACCATCGACTCCTCCACACATATTGGAAAAAGCAGAAAATGCAGTAGAAAATATTTTGCCCCAAAAATCTATGGCAATACTAATACCCGAGATAATACCATTAATTACAATTTTGTAGAATTACTGTTATTGTGTTCAATACAAATATAAATATAATATTTATAGTTCTTGATTATTTATCGGGTGAAGAAAAAATATCGTATGCAACTCTCATGTAATGGTTATTACATGCTATACTATTATGTAATCCCTCAATTTTAGCGGGCTCGCTTACCTGATTTAATCTCTAGTGATTTTATTACTTTTAATTGTTTATATAACGTAGCCGCCTCACTCACCTAATTTAATATCTATTAATTTTTATTAACTATACTAGGTGTTTCATAACTATACCGCTAAACTTTTAGGGGTAGTATGGGACACCAAATATGTTTAATAAACATGTCCGAAAACGCTTAATTTCTGAAATAAAGGGAATTTTACAAAAAATATATATATAGCGCGCAGTTGATATTTTTCAATTTCAAAATAGTTTTGAGAAAATATTTTTCTTGGAATTATTTATATACTCTAGCCGGCTCACTCAACTGATTTAACCCTTAATGATTTTTAATTGGTGTTTGGTATTAAACGTGTCCCTTTCGGGATTAAAGTGGACTGTAATATAGTTATTATTACGTGAATTAAAATTAAAATGCTAGTCGACTTTGCTGAGTTAATTAAATCTTAAATAAGACATATAAAACATGCAAATGAATAGTCAGTAAACAATCAATCAAATGATGGTAGAATAAGAATCACACCGCTAGAAAACCCGCTATCCCAACACAAAACTTGCAAGCGGTGTTGCCAAGTGATATAAAAATATAAAGTTTGCATAATTTTTATAAAGTGCAAATAATGCCTTAATTACTGTTTTTTTATATAATACCTGATTGAATCATTCATTTTTCCTTTTAATTGTTTACATATTGTGGCCGGCTCGCTCTCCTAATTTAACCACTATTGATTTTTTTCTATCGAGGTTTGTGTGTCCTAACTGGCCCAGGTACCTTCATAATTTTTTAATTCCATTTTATTAAAGAAAAGTTGTATCCTTATTAAAACCAAATTCCTTCATTTCTACGGAAAATCTTTTAAATACTTAAATAGAATAAAATGTTATTCCATAAGAATTCGACTCTAAAACCTCCATAAAACATATTTCTTTTTACGAAGTAATAACCATTAGAACAACTAATTCTTTTCACGAAGTAATATTCATTAAAACAGTTAACACGCTTATCTTAAGTCAGTTCGAATATTAACACCGCTTAATAAATCTACCACCCTTTTTTATCTACCAAAATTCGTTCCCACCGGAGTTACGACAAATTTGCGTCACAAAAGACATTAAAACGGGTATAAATACTCAATCCCGAGTAACACGATATTTAATTAATATTTCAAATGCCTTCCCTCCCTACCTTTCTAAGTCCTGGCGTTCTACGTCCCGATTACCTATCTCCCGACGCTCAACGTCCCGCCGCCCTACTTCCCTACCTTTTTACGTCCCGACAACCTATTTCCCGAACGCTGTCACGTCCCGATAATCAACGTACTACCGCCTTATTTCCCGACGCTTGTCGCCCGCAAACCTACCTAAATATTTCCTTCACAATATGTGGTAACGACACCCTATGTCGCGCAGCACCTCCTAAGTATTTCCTACCTTATATCCGTCGCGACGCAGTACCGTAATAAATAATAATAACAAAATTAGAACTTGTCTAGTTTAGACGAACCTAGTGTCTGTATTTGTTAATGAAACTTTCTTTGAGATATCACCTGAGTTTCGTTTAAATGAGGGATGACATTTGCTTCAAAATATTATCAATGTAACCCAATAAACCACATGGCCTTTGGGCATTCACCCCGAAAGACATGATCGACCAAGATTTAAAATGGGATAATCAATGCCAAAATGTTACAAAAAACTTATTGTATAAAATTAGGAAATTTCGTGATATTTTGGATGATTCACAGTTGAGAGTTCTGTACTACTCGTTAATAGAATCTCATCTTTCTTATGGTCTCATAGCATGGGGAAGTGCATTAGATACTCATTTACATGACGTAAAAGTTGTACAAAAACTTTTATTAAAAATTATTTTTAAAAAACCATTTTGGTATTCCTCAAATGATTTATTTTTAGAAACTAAAATAATGGATATTCGAAAACTGTTCACTAAAATCGTTCTAATATAACATTTTCATAAAAATTAATTTAAAAAAATTAGTCATGCCTACTCAACCAGAGCTGTTACACACAATTTAGAACATATTACAAAGAAACTATACTTACCTCGGTCCTAAATTATATAATAAAGTTCCAGCTGATGTAAAAAATGAAAATTCAAATAATGCTTTTAAAACTAAATTAAACTTATGGCATCTGCAAATACCTCGGATAGAAATTCAAAACTGGATTCATCAAAAGGCCAGTCAAATTACTGAATAATATAAAAAAATAGAAGAATCAATTTTTATTACTTTTTAGTGTCTTATTCTAAGTTCCTCCTCGACATCTCACGATTTAATAATACTTTCTTTCGTGCATTATAGTTTTATATGTTCTTTAGTGTTAGTTTTTTAGTTATTAAATTGAATTTAAATATAAGTTTTTATAATTTTATACACTCTGGAGTTTTTTTATTTATTCACTATAGTTTCTGTATAAGTATATTATAAATTGTACCTTTTGTGAATAATTATTATTATTATCTGTTTTTCGATGGATAAATTTGGGTCGTTTCAATAGAAAACATAAAAATCAATATTCTATTTTATCTTGGGTTAATTATGCAAATCTAAGCAAACCTAGATGATGAAATTTAATAGTTAGCTACCCAACTGGTGAATTAGCACTGTTCGTTAGTTCAAGGTTTGAACCATAAATTATGTGTGAACATTAAGGGATGTTGATTACTACTACTACTTCTATAGGAAAAATATCAAATACAGTAAGTATAGAATTTAAAGTAAAACAAAATTGAGAGGTAACTAATAAAATTACAGATTAAAACAAAAATCAAAGGG